CAGGAAAGGAAATAGCTATTTTAGACGTGATTATCAGATTTTGTTCCAGTGCTGCTTTCTGAACAGGACTTCAGGCTGAGATGATATGGCAAAAACATCTCCAGTGCAGCCATTCTGTTAAAAAGTCCTTAGCAAGTAGGCATCATGTGCCAAAGGGCCTCATTTTAGGAAGAACTTTTCCCAGGTTTTCCCACCAGTGTGCAAAATTTAGAAGTAACTATGGGAATATTTATATGAGTAAGACTATAACAAATAACCAGATCTCCGTTATTTATGTTGGTACAGAAAATAAGGAAAAATTTATCTAAAATCCTATGCATATTTTTGTATTTATTTTAATACATTTTATCCATACATTTGAGAGCAGGGCTCTCTCTGTATGGAAGGGAATTTGCCCTTTACTGCACTAGACAGATTTGCTAATACAATTAATAATTAACCTTAAGGTGCTGGGGGGAGTTTAAGGAAAGCAGAAGCAAAGCAGAGCTTTCAATTTTTGTTTGAACGTACCAAAAAACCACTCAAAATGTAGCATCAGTTGTCCCCCTTTGCATAGTCCAGGAGTTCGCTACAGTGTACGAAAACTCTGCGTTAGTTTCCTTCTGTAGGTTTATTCAATTAACACAAAGCTAGAATTAACATTATTAGATGTAGTTACTCTTTCTGCACCTATGCCGTGCTGTGACTGCTTGATATTTTTATGTTACTGATAATGTCTTGAGAAGACAGGTTAATTTGGGGATGTATGCAGACCCATTCATCCTATCAGACTGTATCATCACTTTGATTCCAGTAGATAACACTGGAAATGGATACCACACCAGAGGACAGGCATCAAGCAGTTGATATTTGGTTTCAGTGATGGCTGGTAGGTGGTGTCCATGTCCTTCAAAGCCATGCCAGCTGCTACTTCTCTGAGTGGGCAGATAAAGGAGACTGAATTGCTCTGCTCTCTTGGAGTCCTTCACTGGATCAAGGCCGGGGGCAGCAGTGCTGTGGGGTTTTTTTTTTGTGATCACGGATCCAAATTTGACTACAGTAGATCCTGTCCATCTGAACACCAAAAATGTGAAGCAATGTAATATGTGAGCAGGAGATACATAAAGACACAATGAGATAATACCAGTCATGCTAATGATGAAAAACCTCCTGTGGGGAATGGCTACCATCTCCCACCCAGGGGCTGGCTTTCCCCTTTGGGTTCCCTCTTCAAAAGGCAGTACGTATTTTGTGGTGTAAGTAGGTATCATACAGATCAAAAGCTTTCCAGAGATCAAAAAATACTGAGCTTTGAGATCAACACTGTTGATGATCAGCACTTCAGCCAGAGGTGGCCAATTTTGTTGTTAAAAATTAGAAGTTGCCTGTTCTCACAGAAACACATCTTATTGCTAAACCCCAGCATATACAAAGTTCTACATAGCATATCTGAGATCAGGACCTATGGTAGACCATAGACTTAAGTTGTAATAAATATTCCCTTTGAGGTTTTGAGACTTGGTAATATTTTAAACTTTTTTGGTAGATTTTTAAAGCTGTTATTTTTTCATAATTGCCTTCATGGAGCTTTTTTAAAGTAATATTAAATAAATTGCATTTTATGATAAAAATACAAAAAAGTTATGCCAGGAGTGTATCTTAATATAACATATCACATATTAGCTGGTAGGGAATGATAAGATTCTTCTCTGGGAAACTAATGTGCTACAAACATGGTAACTCTTTACAGAGGTTATTTCGGAGAGCACATGGAGGGATAACTGCTGTGCGGTGATCAGCAGCCCCTCAAATTAACATCTTTGTTTTACCAGAATTATTCTTCCTGCGCGGCCCTTTTAACTAAGGAGTGAACTATGCCTAAGAATTAATACCTGTTCAATCTACATGTAAAAAATTAAGATAAGATCATAATTTTTTTAGGGTTTGTTTCTGTATTTGTCAAGCCATGGTCAGTGTCCATGTTTTCTGTAGCTTTAATAACTGCTGGTTTCATTGCTATCGACTCATGAAAAAGTAGAAAAATAATTGTGTTTGCCAAAACTATTACCTTTCCATTAACTTCTTTCATGTAACTTCCAAGGTATTTTTAAAATGAATTCTTCCTTCATAACATGCTTTTTTGCTTTTCTCATACTTCTTCCTTCTTGAATATTTTTGTAATTTAAAAACAAAAGGACTAGTAGGGTGCCGCTTGCCCTCCTTTTCTGGCAGCATTCGTCTATTTCCACTTTGGTTGGAGATCACAGTAATCCAGCATGTTGTGGAAAGCGGTTCTCCCTGGAGGGACATCTGGTGCTTTGATGTGCTCCCCAGGCAGTTCTCTTGGCAGCTCTGGAGATGCCACTGAAAGATCTGGCACACTTCTGTTCAGATGAAAGTAAGAAAATCCCTCGTTAGTGATGTGTAGAGTAAGATACTGGTTACTGCACCAGATTGGTTTGGTTCTAATCACAGACTTCTGGCAGTAAATATTAGCATAGAGGAGATTTATTTTTTTTTTAAAGGATATGAATGTGGAAGAAAGTAAGTAAAAAGGTCTGCAAATGCAGAGTCAGTAAAGGCAGAAAAGGAAAACAAATGGCAAAATTAGTTAAGTAGTTGCAAAATCTGTTACAAGGTGTGAGAAAAACTCAACAAGGATCATGAATGAAAGTTCAGTTCATACCCATCTAGTAAAATGAAAAGAAGAGATGTGTTATGGGTAATTACTGAGCACTTACCACTGACCTGGCAAAGAGCATGTGTGTGAGTGAGTAATCTCTGGTGAACAGGAGTTACACGGTGTAAGCATTGGAGATTGCTGCTGCTGTCTCTTTATTCAGTGCTGCATTGTTTGACTACCTTCACAATTTGTTGGCATTAGTACATTTTAGTTCAATAGACGAGTGAAGTCTTACTTGGTTCTTACTTAGGTTTCTTAGTCTTAGGTCTCTTAGTTTCTTTCCTTCTAGTAGTATTCTCTACAGTGCTTTTTCACCTCCAGTTAAATATTTTGTTTTCACATGAAACTCAACTGCTTTTCTTCCATGGCGTGTTGAAGGCTGTTAAACAGTTTTAATACACAGGTTTCAGGAATTCAGTTCAATTGACATTGTCTTTATCACTTTCAGGAGTGAAACCTTAAACACACGTAAGACATTTTGCCATGAAAGATCACCATTGACTTCTGTGAGGCCAATATATCACTTACGTATTCCCACCGTGAAAAGCAAAAAATCAAAAAAAGTTATTTGGCCTAAGAGTTTGTATGTCCAGACTTCACAGACACTTTGTTTTTGCCAGCTGATGTGTCTCTATGTAGCTATTTCTGATATAGCAGCCTCTATTCGGCATTTTTGACATTGTCTTTCTCAATTGCAAAAGACAGAGAATCAAGGAGGCAAGGAAAGGTATTTGCCAGTAACATTTATGGCTCCAAAATACTCGCTAGCTACCCCTGCTCATTGCCTTCTATCCAGCTATGGCCAAATTTTCTGTGAGGAGGGTTTTTTTAAATACTCCAGATGCCTCAAACAAACCCAATGTACTCATCAGGCCTATCAATTTTTAGCCATTTTATTAGATACTAAATATATATATTAATTTTAAAAATTACAATTTTGAATCTTTTCGGTATCTTTGAGAAGAAATTACTTGAAGTGCTTGACATTTTAATGCAGGTTGTCTTTTCAAATAGATTTGGCTTCTAACGCATGTGACAACAGGACTTTGCTCTTCAGTTAGAGCATACATTTCAGAGTAGTTGTTACCTAAAATATTATCATAAGGCATAAGAAAACACACGATTTAAGTTGCCTTTCATGAACATAATTAAGAATTAATAAGACTGTACCAGTGGCTAGTCCTCAGAATTTCCACTGTTTTGCCTTTTGTGACCCGTGTTATTAAAAGTCCATTATTTTTACAGACTTTATTAAATTGGATCTTATTAAAGCATTCTATATTTGCATTTGGTCTTTCATAATTCATTATTATTATGACATTTACTTTTTACCATCAGATCTGAAAACATATCATAAGCTACCCTTTTCTCTTGAAAGAAATGCTAATTTCAAACAGTCCTCTAATGGAAGAGAAAAGCTTTATCAGTTTTTTCATTTATTCAAGATCGTGTTAAGAATACTAATGCTAGACTTCTGTATGCTAATATCCAAGAGCTTTTTTTGGTCAAAAGCTTAGAATTATTGTTTTTAGACCACACTGCTAAGTATGTCACTGGCAGGGCACTAGTACAAAAGAAAATACAATTCTGAAGTACCACATTTTAATTCTATGACTGATAAAAACCATTTCTTGATGTTTCATTATTAAATTATATTTTCATATGAAACTATACTATTTTTGTGCTTCGTCATGTTTACTAGATTATGGCTCTACTTAGTTTCTCTTTAGAAGTTTTTAACAATTTATTTTGCATGATTACTTCGGGGGGGTTAGTTTGGAATTATAAGCTGCAGAATAGTGTAAAAGGAAATGGAGTTCTCCATCAAAGAAATCACTGTCTTAACAAGTTATTAATTGTTTTTATTTAGTCGATTTGGTATTTATCGTATTTGTAAGTATTCTCATAACTTAATAATAAAAAGGGAGAAAGACCTCTAGATTTGAATGCAGAAGCTTAGACGTTAAACAGTACTGAGCACTGATAAACTGCTGAATTTAGCATAATTTTTTTAAAACCAACTTCAATAACATCTCTACAATGTTAACTTTGTTTTTTCCGACACAGGTTTCTGACGATGTGCACTAGGCACTTCGGGAGTGTTGTAGCCCAGACAATTCGAACTCAGAAGACAGACCAGTTTCCACTTTTCCTTATTATTATGGGAAAACGATCATCTAATGAAGTATTGAATGTAATACAAGGTACAGTTCTCACTTTATATTAAAAGGAGTTTTTATGTGAGCACTAAAACTGTTAGAAGGCATCTTTGTGAACCTTTTCTTTTAAGATGTTCAGAATATGAATTTATTTCACACAAGATACTTTCAGTTGCCATGGTATAAATAGCTACTATTCATAAATGTGTTAATTAACTTCATATTAGAGAATCATTGCCATGACTGTAGTAGGATCATAGTTTAAGTTTCTCTGTTGGGTTTTTTTTTTTTTAGTAGAAGCCAAATATCCTAAATAAGGAGCTACACTTAGTCTTGCAAATTTATATCCATATAAATTACTGATTTGCAATAGATTTTGACTGCACTTTTTGTGTAGTGCCAGAATACGTTGAGTTTGCTGTGTCTGGTCCCTTGTTACCATGTGGACTCCTGTTGCACATAGCAGGCTAATATTTGAACATGAGTTGCTTTTTCAGACCTGCCTGCAGTGCTGAGCCTCCAAATTGGATCAGAATTTGAAGTTGCTAATATAATCCCACAGAAATGAAGCTTTCTGTCTTGCATGAGCAGTTCTTTATGACATAACCATTCCTCTGATTTCACTGACAGCAAGATGACTTAGATGTGGAGTGTTGCCCTTTGACTGCTGTTCTCAGTAACTCTTCAAATTAAAATACATCAAAGAATGGCAGCCTCTCATTTCTTCTGCTTTCTCCACACGTTTGCCTTCATGACACTGTGTCCTCATTTATTTATTGCTTAAATCTAACAATCTTTATTCTAATCTCCTTATTTTCCTGAGGAAATTCAGCCTCAGGAAATACTACCTTTTGCAGACAGCATTACTGTTTCTTTCTGCATATGGGATTAATAATTTTCTTGTGGAGCCTGCAGTGCTCCTTCCTATGGCCAAAATTGTGAATTTTGCATCAACTTTGTCTCCTTAGTGCAAGGTACAGCACAACACTAATTCATGTTACTTCTGTCACTTAGAGAATTTATTTCATAGAAATAACCTTATGAGAAAGTTTTCTTGGTTTTATAACTCCGCAGCATAGTTCAGCACCTGTGTTATCCCAGTGAAGTCAGTGGTGCTTGCTGGCTTAAATTACTTAACTGAGCAACTTGGTGACTCAAAGTCATAATACAGTGCAGCTTTGTATGATAAAATAATCCCAATTATTTAATTGCATTCATTAAGTTTTAATGATTTGTCAGGTTTTCTGCAGTCTTTTGAACTAAACTAAAGCGATCATCTGTTGCAGCCTTACTTCAGTTTATCTTTTAACAAGAATCAAACGCGCTGTACTTGTTATTTTCCCATGAATTGGGACACCAGTATCTTTTCACAATATGCCCTCAGATGAATTGTAGCGTCTCAAGTCCTGCGTGTTGTAGCATGTGGGATAAAATTTTCTGCTAAGGTAGCAAATGTTAGAAATGGGAACAATGAGGGCTTTTCAGGGCTGGGTGAGAAGGCATGTGTACAGAAGAGATACAACGATATAGAAACTTAAGTCCCAGTGGCGTTCATTGAAATGCAGACTGTCTAAATTTGCTTTCCATTTTTAGTTGGGTTTTTTTTTCCTTTTTCCTGGGGTTGGAAACTATGGGGACAGTTTTGTTTGCTTTACTGGTACGATGGCTTCTGGTTAGTTTACTCCTTTTAAAGTTTTGACCAGCATCACCAGTACAAACCTAGTTCTTGTTGGCATTGTTCTGTGAACGTCCAAACACCATTTAGGCTGGCAGCTATTATAGTTTTTGACCGTTACTCATGGTCTAAGACTTTTTAACTACTATGACAAGTAGCTCTAATGGGTAGTTTAGTCTTCAGTTTAGGAAGAAAACACAAACACTGAGTGCATCTTGGTGGGAAATGAAACTAAGATTTCAGTCTTACTGAAAACTGGAGGTGTGCTGGTTGAAAAATGGAAGGAGGTATCTGTTTTTCTATGCATGTGCTGTATTTCTTGATAGATACACCGATGACTTACTTTTCCGCTATTATTAGTTTTACTAGTTTTGTCAGAAGTAAATAGACTAAAGAGAATATATTATAAAGTTTGAAATTTTACTACTAATACCTGAGTGAAAATGCTGCACGCACATCCATTCAATCACTGTATTTTGGTTTTTTCCATTTTTTAAACCAATCCACATGGATGCTGCTGCCAACATTCTACCTTTTGCTACATGACTAAGCAATTGCTTCAGTCTCCCTGGTTTATTATAGCTGGGAATTCTAAAACATAAAATCAGTTTCATGTCAGGGAACCCCAGATATACTACTTTCCTTTAACATCAGTGATTAAAAGAAAAAATAGTTACTCCATGCAAGCACAGAAGCAGTTGTTCAGATTTGAACCACCTAAAATTTTAGCCTATGATCAACAACATTTGTTTGTGAAAGAAATCTAACGTTTTCAATAAAAAGGCAAACTAAAAGCATTCTGCTGAGATACTTGCATTTTCTACTCTGTGCTTAGTTGTTTGGGGTTTTTTTAAATCTGGCTATTTCTTATGGATTAATTCTAAAATTACTTCTTTTTTTGTGTAGTAACTTTAATGGTGTGAAGTTCAGCTATCTTTCTTTGTTGCTAGGTAACACAACAGTGGATGAACTAATGATGAGGCTGATGGCTGCAATGGAGATCTTCAGTGCCCAGCAGCAGGAAGACATAAAGGATGAGGTGAGCACTGAAAGTTGCTGCAGATACCCACTGGCTTCCACGAGTCACTGGGGATGCCAAATCAATCAGATGTTTCTTTAGCCAATGAAGTTGGGTATGATGTGTTTTAGTGCCTCTTCCATCATCAGAAATTAAAAACATCGTCTCCTTTGTGTATTTACTTGGGTTTCTCAAAAAACCCGTTCTTTATTGGTCTTGTCATTTTCAGTTTGTTTTCTTTTTCTGAGTATTAGTCATGAGTAACCATTTCCATTTACAGTGGCATTATGGAGCTTAATATGCTCGTACAAGGAAATGACAATTGAATATTTCCCCAATGACCAGCTCCAGGTCATAGGTAGAAAGCAAAGAATAGATTGATAGACCTTAAAAGGGAATTGAAAAACAACCTTAACCAGGGCTGAACCAGTACTGAATCTTCATTCTGACAGCGCAGAATGGGTAAGTGGTGACAAGACTTTTCAAAAACAGTGTTTCAATTACACAGAAGTAGACACAGTGAGGCATACAGTTGAAAGATGTTCATCTGTTACTCTATAAATTGAGAGTGACATTTTGAAGTAATGAATTACTTAGGAATTTATAATAATAGGTGTGTTGCCATTCAAGATTATTCTTATCCTGTTGTATAGACATTGATTGACAATAATTCACTAAACACACTCTTCACATTTAAATCTTGTATCTCATTAGTACAAGATTTACTGATTATGGTTGTAATAATATGGAGGCACGGCATCTGAACAATATCTGTACTTCGTTTTTTCTTCTTTATTTATGCTACCCGTAATTCATTGGTAAAGAAATTGACTTTCATTTTGTTAATACTGAGCACAAATTTTAATATGAGGATTACAACAAAAAATCCAAGGCATGATATAATTGATTTTTTAAATGCATTTTAACAGGAATATGTCAGGTATGGGGTTTTTCTAATGCTTTAATGAGAAGGTAAAATTCGCATCACAGATAAGTTCCAAGAAAGGTTGAGAACTGAAAACTATAAAAGCTGATAAAAAGGAAGAAAACAGAAGGCAAGAAAAGCTTATAAAGGCAAAGAGATAAGAGCGAATATGGAACTGGAGAAGGAATTAGAATTAGGAGTCTTGGGTTTGGAGCAGGAGATCAGAACGGTTGCCCAGGGCAGGGGACATCGGTATTTAGCAAAGAAAAAGGTAGAAGCAGATGAGATAGTGATAGACCTCTCCTAAGAGGATTAAGCCAAGTGGGTTTGCAACTAAGAAATGTCTGAGTGTAAGGGAAATGAAACTTAACCAAAAAAGCCCACTTGGTATCCTTAAGGCCATGATTGCAGAAGTGGTAATGGGCTTCTGCATCCTGCGCTGCTGTTGGTCCCTCCCTGGATGGCCAGGAACGGGGACAGTCCAGTGACAGCTCCCACGGTGGCAATGTGGACGTCTCCTGACTTCTTGCTCCAGGTGCTCCACCTATGTAGGGAGAATGGGAAATTAATTTTTATACATTCCTCCCAAATCTACCTTTGTCCCAGTCTTCTGTACTCTTTTCTCACATTTCCTTCTGTTTTTCTGTCGCTGAGAGCACCACTGACATTTCTTCCCCAACGGGAGTTTTTTTTCTAACACACTTTGACATTCAGAAAACTAATGGAAAATTTCATAAACTTTAGGGGCAGATTTCCAGATGCTATGGGTTCTATACACAAATAGGATATTTACTTATACCTTGGCTTCACTTTTACGAGCACACCTAAAGGTGATCTCAGACACTTTCACCTTTGAAGCAGGAAGTTTAAAACCAAAAAATAACTTTGCTTTATGAAATTACTATTCCAGAGAGGGAGTGTTTGACAAGCAGTCTGTACTCAATAGAGAGCTTTAGCCTGAAAAGAAAATACTGCCTTTTTGTGGTTTGCTACATAATCTGTAGCTTTCTTGTAAGTCTTGTACTTGACAACTTCAAGTGTTTAAACATCAACACCTTTTCTTTTTTAAGATCTTGCTGCAATTGGTGCATTCATTTCCCAAATATTACAATAGCAAACAGGATACAGAGTCCGGTTTCTGTTACTGTGTTCTTAATAGCAACAATAAGTCATTGTAAAACCACAAGAAGATAAGCAGAAAATTCTTTTGTGTTTTAAAAAGAGAAGTTATCTGTATAGCTTTGCTGTAAACAGAAGTGTGTGTGAGAGAGAAATAGGACTGGAAACACTTGTAAATAACAGCATGAAATCATTAATGAGTCAGGTTGTGCAGCTGAACTTCTCCACGTTGGATTTTTAACTTGCATGCACATGAAAGCTTCCCACACGGCTATTGCATAATTCTGTTTAGCACAGCATGTTTTGCAGTGCCCTCTGATGGTTATTTCGCTGCAGGATGACTGTTACCACCGTGGTGCTGGCTGTAGCTGTTCAGGCATCTCTGTACAGCCCAGTCCCTGTCGCTGCCCATCCACTGATGGTGTAGGCAGACACTCAGAGCAGCGTCACCTCACCCGAGTGAAGTCAGTCACTTCCTTGGCTGGTGGTAATAGCTGGTGGTTAGCTAAATTCTCTGCTTTGGTATCCATGTAAAATTTACTAGGGTAACCTCATAAAATTTTAATCAGGCAAACTTGGGGCATATTTCTAAAATGTCAAGTGCTAAAATACCATCATTTAACCAGCAGTTTGATTTAATTTTTAGATTTGTATCTTATGTTTGGTCAAGATTTTTCTTACATAATCTCCAAAGAAATACCTTAAAAACATTGAGATGCATATGTGTACATATGTGTGCACATTAGTATTTTCCTTTTCTAACTATGTTTGCTCCTCTGGCCCACACTACAAATGTTGATACCCCAACCGCTGTTCAGGCAGTGGGGTTGAGGACTTCTGCAAAGAGGAAATAAAGGCCCTAAGGAGTTTCTCCTGTAAGCGATCGAGGGTATCTCAGGCAGGGGCAGCCGGCCTCTCCCACTGTTGATCAAGGCGTGAACTGAGATTTTTCGGGAACTGACTTTGAAAGGAGTGTGTAGTATCGGTTCCTCTGAAGTGTCAATGCCTGGTGCTGGACTTAGGAAAACAAATAATAATTGTAAAATATTGCACGCCCTGGAATGTCCATTTTTAAACACCCTGTTAGCTTGCTTGCTTCAATTAAATAATCACCTCAGCGTGGCACGATGGGCCCAAATAGATCGGAGTGAGTTCCTTTGTGAGATTAATGTGAAGAGATACGTGATTAAATCCTGGTCTTGCAGCACAACACACCTGTTCTGGGACGATCCCGAACATTTTTCCTCCATGGCCTGAGGAGGAGGCTTCTCAGAGGATTACAGTAACACTTTTTGACAAGCTTATACAGGGTGGAGTTTCCATGTAATGACAGGGCTCATTTGATGATATCTCAGTAATGCATTCTTTTTATTTTTGCTGTCAACATTTATTACTGTAGAAGCATTGACTGTTACACAGCTGGTCCAACTTGTCCACATTTAAGTAACAGTAGGTCTCTCGTCATGTTTATTTTTGTCGTTACGCAACACTAGCGCTCCTGTGCTCAGATAAGACTTCAAGGTGGAATTGTAATACCCACAGCTGCTTCAAAAGCCTTGTTTTTACAAATAACAATTAAAACCTTCAATTCACTTCAAACTGTGTCTGCTGACACACTGTTTTCTTTAGTGTAAAAGAGAGATACTTAAGAATTTTTGAACTGGAAAAACTGTTGTAAACAGACTCTGAAGATAAGCTGTCCAAAAATGTAGCCCTGCAGAGTGACCATCTTTGCTCTCTGATCTATGGTGGCATCTCTTCTTCCTTGACACTGCTATGACGTGAGGAAAATGTAGGTCCTTCCTTACTGGAAGGACCTGGATGGGGATTTTAAAAATATGTAAATGAAAACAATAACTCCAAACCAGCAACATAAATTCACCTTCTTTTGCCTGCCACAGCTCTGTATAAATGTGCTTGTGTCACCATCCCAGCGCTCTCTTATGTTAGATGGGGCTTTACTGGGCAAGTGTTATTTTTATAACATTGCAGTAAGAAGCCTGTCACCTCCACGTCTACCACCTCTTCTGCCTCCCTGCTGTCAAGTGAAAGCGATTTCCTTCCTTTTTTTGTATGATGATATAACAGTTTTAGCTTCCAGTACCTTTTCCTCTTCTGACAATGTGTCTCAGCCACAGAGAATCCGTCTTAGTGCATATTCTCCTAATCTGTGACCTGTTTGTCTTTTCCTCCTTCAGATCGGTTGCTTTTCTCCACTCCTTACCTGCAGTCGTGTTCTCAGTTAGGGGATGGCTTAAGTGCTTCCGCCAGCCATGCAGGATACCCCTGCAAGTTCTGTTTAGGCACTGAAACTCACATTAAAATCAGTAGAAATTAGGCATCTGGATACCTTTGATAATCTGTGTTCCATCTAACACTGTCATGTGTATCATGGTATATAGTATTTGCACAGCAGGAGGTTATGAGAATAAATACATGAAATTCATTAAATTCCGAGGCGCAAAAGCATTATGGTGATGACAGCCATCTAACGAAGATTGTGATTGAACCCCTCAAAAAATCCAATTAGCACATTTACTAATTATTACTAGTTATAACTAATTAAACTACAGTAATAAAAATTTGCTTAAATTCTCCAATTTTGTATTTGTAATATGATAGCACCCCAAACGATCGGTTTCCCATTGTGCACTTCACTGCACTGACACACCAGCAGATATCACTGCCGCCTTTAAGGGTTTGTGGCCTATTTTGAACTTTGACAAAGTGCAAGGTAATGACAGAGGAAAGAAAAGATAAAATGCAAGTATCTTTAGTTCAGGTGGCTTTTTGGCTATACTTGTTGATGGCTCCAGTTTCTCTTAATAAAGAGCAGCTTTCCCTGCTACACAGCCCAGGTGGTGTGGTAGGACCGGCTGGCTCATTTCCCATGGAAAGTCACTGCAGGACTGCTTCTGGAAGCTTCTGGGTTTATTTTCTTTCTTGTTACTTGAGGTAATTCTCAGAAATCGCTATCTGGAACTGGGCTTTCAGCCTTTGATATAGCCAGGCAGGATCCCCCAGCGGTTCTCTGTTGTGCCCCCTCACTCTGCCCCGTCCTGCCTCCCCACCCGAGGTTCTGCCACCACTGAAACTTTCATTTGCTTTGTCCTTATCGTTCTCATATACCCAACACATTCTGTGTACATTTTTTCCTTCCATATATTCCTCATCATGTATGTTTAAGTTATACAATGTGCAAGTCTGTCATCTTAGTGAGTCAAGTTAATGTCTTTCTCGCACTGGTTTGTTTGGGCAAAGGGGTGTTTCTCTTTAACGCTCCCGTGAATAGCCTTAAGCACTTGCAGTTTTTAATTTCAGGAGTGGTTCAGTGAAATGAACTGTCTTTCAGCTGAGCATTCAGCATTTGTAAATATACTCTGGGGTTTTTTTGTCTTTCTTGTAACAGCCGGTTCCTCACTGATGCTCTGATACGTGTCTTCGGCTCGTGGTTATCTTCTCAAGTTCTGTCTCGTCTGGTTTTACTTCACAGTAAAACTGATCCCAAAGGGCAATGAGGAATAAAGCCATAACACATCTCCCTGAGACAAATCAGGTGCAAAGCTGATTGCTGGAGTTAAATCATTAAATCCTACCTTCAGAAAAAACAACAATATATTTTAAAAAACCCTAGAAGGGCCAGTGCTGACTTTTCGAGCAAAATAACACATCCAAAAAGCCAAATGTATTGTGTATTCTTTTCCCCTGTGTAATCTGCAGGAAAAGGGGGCATACGCTGTCCTTAATGCAATCAGGAATCCCTGTTTCCATCGTCCTGCCTTCTATTGAGTGCTTCAGTGGTAACTTCAAGAAGTGGTTTAGGGAATAATTATTGGAGAGAGTTATCCTAAATTTCTTCTTAACCTTCTCTGTAAGTTTTTCTTAGTCTTGTAGCTCTGGATATTACTCAACAGAAGGTTTTATCTAGTCCATTATAACTATTTCATGAATATAAGTGTTTACTATTTTTGTTACGACTTTGTAATATTGTCGTGGTTTGTACAGTTGTTCTATCACCCGATCACTCTTCCCCACTTGGGGATGGGAGTCAGGAAAAGAAAAGGAGGTCCATGGGTTGAAAAAGAAATATATTTAGTAAAAATAATAATAAAACCCAGTATTAATAACAGCGTTAATCTGAAGTACACAGAGTTATACCCAGCCAGTGTTGTGGGGGAGTAGGCCTCAGGGGTAGGGTGGTAGACAAGGCCCTTTTGAAGTGTCAGCCATGGAAGAATATAATCTGTGAATAAATGAAATTTTTTTAAAAAGTCTCAACTTTCCATTGAACATTCCCCCCCCATTGTTGCATTATCAAAATGATAAAGCAGAGAGCTGTGACTTTTTCCCTTTAAGGAGCAAAGGGAAGTGGTCTCCTCATCTCACGCCCAAAACCCTGGTATGCGGATGGCTTGCATCCACACCAGCCTTTGGTTGGTGCTGTGGAATTCAGAAACGCGGAGCGTAGCCCCATTTATGATGAAGGCTTTTTACGTGACCTGAGACGAGCCGTTGTCTGTTCACACCTTGGTTTCTTGGAAAAAGAAGGTGGTAATTTTACCTTCATTGCAGAAGTACTGCAGAGATGCATTTATTGATGTTCAGTCAATGCTGCAATTTATGGAGGGTTTAGCAGGAAAACTGAAAACTACCTCAGGTTTTGTTAATGGATAATACAGCATTTTTAAAATTAATTATTAGTGGTAGGACTGTTCTTTTTTTCTTCCTGTGTTCGTTCTTAGTGCAATGAAAGGTTCTCTGCAAAACACTTTCTTCTGCTATTTTTGTCACCATTACAAATTTTCTTTTGTTGCTTTTGGTAACCTTGAGTCATCCTCCTGCTTTGTATGGTTTCTCTGGAGGAAGAGATGACTAAAATAAAAAATTGCATTACAAAAAGGAGATCTGCAGTATCTAATATTTAAGATTTGCCTAAGGCGTAACTCTGACCCAGAGAATATCATTTTGCCATAATCTCCATAGAGGAGGTGGTGTGAGCAGTATTGACAAAACACAGCAGTAGGTACAGAGAGGTGCCTCATGGGATTACATCTGCTTCTTACTTAAAGAAATCTAGATCCTGGATTTGTTTTTTTTGTCTATTTCAGTAAGAACAGTGTTGTTTCCATGCGGTGTCAAGCACAGTGGCGTGTTCTTTTACTTTTAGATGTGACTTACATATTTCTATGAGGACCAGGCAGTCATGCGTAGTAATTCTTCACATTCCTGACATCTCTCTCATAATCCACTTTTAGGACGATGATAACTGTGATGAATAGGGAGGAAATAATTTTTTTTAAATGCCTGATATTCACATTATAAAACCTATAGCATCGGTAGTTTTTGCAGTTGTCATGCAGATTATATAAATTAAACCAATTTCAAAAGTTCTTCTGTAAAGCTCTCTGTAGGTAAATGAATCCCCTGTGTTAATCTAAAGTAACTTCTAAAAACGTCCTGGAGTTTCCTAGACAGTTTGTAAAGTGCAAAATAAAAGCCAGTACTCTCTTTCTTATAACTCTGATTAGTTGGGTTTTTTTAAATTTATTTTTCTAACAATTTTTGTAATTTTTTAAATGTTGGGGTTTTTTGAGGGTTGGCTTTGGTTTGTCTGGGGGTTTTTGTTTGGGGTTTTTTGTGTTGGGATTTTTGTTTGTTTGTTTTTAACTGAAGTAACTATATGGTAATTGCTATCAATATTTGATGAAGGAAAGAGCCTCTAGTTGCAGTGGTTGTATCTGATCTCCCAGTTTTCTCTTGAGCATTACTGGACTTGTGTGACTTTTGAAATTCAGTTAGCGTGTGATACATGAAGTTGCAAAACCTGACAGCTTAATAGGCTCTCTGCAAATAGATTCTTCATATTTTTTAAAAAGCTTGTTCCATCTCAGATTGCCTGAAGTCAGTCTTCCTTTAGTAAATTGGATGGGAAGATAGATTTATTTCTCACTGTTTTAGGACAAATTTATGGTATGTTTGTGGAAAGACTTTGTTTGTCGATAGTACAAAGCCTTTTCCTTTACTGTTACATTCCATCTATGAGAAGAGTTGGGAAAACTTCTGTGTATTCCAGCTTTCCTCATTTTTGGATAACAAAAATCAGAGCTGTTTAATTATTTCAACACGGTCTCTTCTCAGAAATGGAATATTAATGTAGGGTAATTTCTGCTATCAGGTTTGAGTGACTTTTTGAAGGTATTCCAGGAGCATGGCACATAAAGCTTATCAAGGTCCAGAGGTGCGGGGGGGGGGAGGGGGAACGAGATATTTGGTGGTTCTTGTCCTTTTTACGTTTTGTAAGTATTACTTCTACTCATGTCTTAGCTTTGCTGAACAAAGTGATAGTTTCTGTGTCTTCTGTGAATTAAATTTAGGACACGTTGCTTGTAGACTAATCTTGGGTCCCGTTTCTATAAGGAAGAAGAGTTTCCTCTAAAAAGATCTTGTTACTTTCCAACTGGAGGTTGTATACCTTTTCCTGCAATTTGTCCTTTCCTCTTGTGGTTGCATGTTACTTTGGAGCTCTTTAACCGCTAACGCGTTAGAGTTTTGTTTGTGGAACATCTTGGCACGTTTGCATGACATGGTAATGACAGTTAACATATGCTCCTCACATTTAGAGTTGAGTTTTTGCCAAATAGTGACGTTTTGGGGAGAAGATTAATCAGTTTATGTGGAATAAACCTGGCAGATTAATGGGAAAATTAACTTACTTCTTCAAAAATCAGTAGATAGTAGACTTTAATTTCTGTGAAATACAGGGAACAGATTACCCCAGTGCAAGCGCTGTGTTACTGGTAACTACAGGTGACCGTGCTGAGCCCACCAGCTCACCAAGCTAAATCTTATTGATTTTTGTAGGGACCAGTGCAGCCTCTGCAGGGATCTGGGAGGATTATGAGATGTAAGAGGAGTAAGTGCAGTGGAGCAGCCACTGTCTCTGTCTCCAGAGGCAGAGTATGAATCTATTGATTGTACACTTTGCTTTATCAGACATCACCCCAGTGCAGTTACTCTGGCTTTCAGTGATATCCACTTCTTGATCCTTCACCATATGGATGATGCCCTGCTTTGTCATTCGCGTATTTTTATCAAACCTTTATTTTGTCATGCTCTGATCATTAATGAGATACTTTGCTAGGTTTGCTGGTTTGAAGTGGGCATGCTAACCTCACGTTTCTTGTCTGCCTGCATCTTTATATTCGAAACACTTCAGAGCAGGACTTGCTACTTTCCCATTTTGTGTAAGACAGCACAATGTGAACTGAGGCCTCTGGATGGTGTTTCATAGCCATGACCCTGGACAGATCCTACTGAGGGTGTTTTCACCAAGGAAGGACCTGGGAGCAGGCCTTCTCTCACAGGACAACCCATTAACTCCTGTCACAGCAGAAAGCAAATTAAAATCCAGCCTCATCATTTAAACCTCAGTCTGTCCTTCCCTATTACAAGACCACCCGACTTGTCAGCTGCAGGAGTGAGATCCCTGCAAGATCCTCCCCAGCGCCAGGCCACACGTACCCCTCTTCTGGCCCCCTCCTCGCGTGGCTGGCGCAGGAGGATGCTGCCCTGTTCTGGAGTCTGATGAAGATGGTAGAGCAAACAGCCCCCTTGGGCTGGGCCTTGGACACGCCAATCTGTTAGGTGGCAATTGAAACATAGCTGTAGGTAAGTCAGAATTCATAAAGCCAAGGTCACCCTTGAGGCGTTTCTGAAATAATTTCTCCTAGCGGTAGTTAGATGAGCAAAGCAGTCAAGTATTTTGAATTCACTGGGGTTAAAGAGTGCTGGTGAACGTAAGACATAGATCATATTAATCCACTGTTCATGGATATTGCTAATTTTCGTTTCTTTTTTCTTTTAGGATGAACGTGAAGCCAGAGAAAATGTGAAAAGGGAACAGGATGAAGCATACCGCATCTCGCTGGAGGCTGACAGAGCAAAGGTGGGTGCAGGGTGAAGCAACCACAGGAATGTCAGGATGGGAATCCCTCCACATTTGGTGAAATCTCTGTGGTGCAGAGGACTGCCTGCCTTCAGTTCTGCTTTTAAGATAACGTGATTGCTGTAGGAGCCGTAATGCCCTCAGTGGTTATAACATGGCACTAGACACAGTAACGAGGAGTAGACTTAACATCTTTTTGGTAAAGCAGTCCTGGCCCCACTTAATAATAGAAGTTGGGAAAGCAATGGCAGGAAAAGGTCACTTAATAAATATCCTAATTCTTGTATTAATTTCTACGTAGAAGCAGAGAAGATTCTTTGCTTTTATGTATCTAATGCACGTCATTAAATACAGCTGTGGGAAGCAAGGTGATACATGCATGATAACTGTTTGTGTTTATTAGAGGGAAGCGCAAGAGAGAGAAATGGCAGAGCAGTTTCGCTTGGAACAGATTCGGAAAGAACAGGAGGAAGAACGTGAGGTGGGACGTTTTACCTTTCTGTCTAATTTTTGGATTCATGAAGGTTATGGACATTGCAACTTTCATTCAGCACACATTGCAACTTTAATTCAAAGGATACTTTTTATATGAATATCAATTTTCTTTAAAATTAACTTCTCATTAACATAGTGCAGCTGAATCATTTTCATCCACTGTTTAATAGCTTTTCTGTTCTATCATTTTAACATTTCTAAAGTCTTCTACAGCATCTTCCTTAGAATGAAAGTTGTGTTTAAATTAATACTTTACATCTCTAAGCTTATATAAGAAAATAGAAACCATGTGCTGTGAAGCATGCCGTTCCCCAGACTCTACTATTTTGGATAGTCTCTTAATTTTGTAGATTCTGAGGACCCCAGTACCTGCTAGAGATGGCTCCTGCAGCCTCTTTCAGGATCTAGGCTAGCTCCTGTCTATGTAGGTATACGTAAAGCATCATGTATAGGAATTTACAGATACTAGTGACTTCCTCTTTTTCACCTCTTGGCAAATACAAAATATGGTAAAAAGGCTGGGGTACAGCCATGTTTCTTCCCTTGATGCCCCACCACATTTCAAAGGATAAGTAAAATGGATTAGTCATTAAAATATTTCCATCTGTTCCGAGAAGTTCTTGAAATATAATTCCTTACAGAACTGCTGTGAAACACAGCTGATACTTGAAAAGGACTTTGAAACCCTTGAATAAAATATTAAAAAATATATTCACTTATAAATGTCTTGACTGAAGTCAGAGTTGGTTTTGGGTTGTCCTTTGACTTCTAAGCATATAAGATTCTGTGAGCAAATTGCTAATGGATACAGAGCTGCTTCAGCAGCCCTATTGAATATATATTTCCTGAGTATGTTTCCAGTATTATATAAAATATAAATAAAATATAAATATTAAAAATATTTATTCACTTATATAAAATGTCAGTGTTCCAATATTTTTTGTAAACTGAATATAACTTCTTTGCTTTGAACAGTCATGGATTATGGAGATTTGAAATTCAAAATTACATTCTCATTTAATTTTCCACTTAGTTAAAGTCCTTGGAACTCTTGAAATCCTGATAAATCACAACCTTGCTTATTCCCCTGTACACAACTTAAATGTATACTTGACATTTCAGTCTTGTGTACTTTGCTGATGTATGAAAAAATTGCATTATACAACTGCAAAAAAGTTGGCTATGAACACATTTAATATTCCCTGAGATAAAGCCAATAAACAAACTGTATGAGCAATGTATTTGCATATATATTTTTGACCAAGATAATTTCATTAAAAAACCTGAACCATTTAAGCATCCAAGAACCTTTTAAACAGTACTGCGCTGTAAATACTAAATTCAGACCAAGCAGTAGTATTCAATGGTTTGGGAAAGATGCAGTCCAGTTCTTCTTTCTTATCCTACAATATCTGTGATGAGTTATTTAGCTCCTGTTGTTAACATTAGCCAAGAATGGAAGCTGAAACGCAACTGCAGGAGCAGTGCACCGAACTGGGCTGGGAGAATTGTGTCAAGAATAACTGTAATCATTGTAATAATTGTAGGACAGCAATTCTGTGAGGTTAATAGCAATCAAACATAAACCAGTACTGTAGCAGTAACAGACTGCTGAGCAGTCAGCTCACACTCACATTCAAGAAGTGTGTTTTTCTTTTTTAAGTAATTTTGCATGCATAGAAACAATAATTAATTCTGCTTTATTATTTCTGCTCCTGAACCTTTTCTGATACTTTCTGATACCTCTTGGAAATCGTTTTCTTACGCAAAGGCTGCAAGACTGGTCCATGTTATCAAAATATACCTGGGCTTCCCTGTTTTAATGTAGAGCACGGTAATGAAAATAATGGGATCTGTTTGCTTAGTAGAACAAAAGGGATTTTAACAATAATGTTTACTAACACTCCCCGTTTTCAAGTATACAGATTACTTACACTGAATTGTTCTGCAACAGTGTTTACTTACAGAAGTGGCTTTATGTTCAGTTCGTATATTTAAAATCTGACTATTGAGCTATTCACATACTGAACATTCTACTTATCAACAGACTGAAATTGCTTGTTCAGGTCCAAGAGTTATTAACGTGATCCATCTCATCATTGTTTTCTGAGTTGGTTTGCTGGTACAGAATATCCATTGTAAATTGCCATTTTATGTTGAAGGCATGGAGACTGGTTACTTTGGGGAGCGACGCACTCTTTGCACAAAGAAAAGGGCTCTAATGAGCTACTGTTGTTTATTTTTCTATAATATAATTGGTTGGGTTCAGTAAATAATGTAGCATCTGCTGTTATACTGTGTGGGGAAATGTCAAAACAGAAAGACAGTAAGCAGGTGGTTGGGAATGGAGAGAGAGAAAATTAAAATAGAATCTATTTAAAATATAATCTCATAGTAGATGAGCAAAAATGAACTCAAGTTCTATGTATAAATATTTATACTGAGATATAATTTTCTCAGAGGTTCATGTCTAAGAAGTAGGCTATTTAAAACCCTTCGTAATCTTGCTTCTGCCCATGCCTTTCTCTTTAACGTAATCATGCACCTTCATTTGCTGTTACCAAATGACCTTGGGGAGGTTTTCAAAGGCACAAATAGCAACTGTGTATCTTGAAAAATCTGTGTTCCTTGAAAAATCGAGGTAAATCCTGCCTGACTGCCTCTTCAGTTGGAGAAGTTGTCTTTTGGGTGTATCGCGCTGCTTCTTCCACTGGCTGACATTCACACTGCCTGCTGCTCAGATGCAGTGGTCCTGTAACAAGGCGGCTCTCTGAGCGCGGTCCAATTTGTACAAGATGCCATTACTTGTCCATGAGGGTTAGTGGTGTTAGTAGCTGTATGATAGTATCAGCAGGATACACAGGAAGACAAAGGTACCCGTTTTTAGGTCGTAATGTGGCCACCCATTACAATATTGAGGCTGATTTCATGCAAGTTGTTGCAGGAAATGTGCACACCTATGCTTGGAATCGTCTTCCTGCAAATAAGAGTAATGATTGCATGCTTTAAATCTTAAAACTCCCATTTCTGTCCTCCCATTTTTCTTCTTTGACCGTTCCTACTTTTATATGTGCTCTATATATCTAGTGTACTTTCAGGTTATTTTAAATTGTGTCTTTTAACAGTGTTTTGGTTTATTTACAGTAAATCTGCAGATATTTCTTTTTCACTCTGAACTGCCACTAACGGTCTTGTCTTTACTGCAAATGGTCAGTTCCTCTCGGCAAGAGGAAGGCGATTTGATAAGTGCATTTAAATAAACACTTTTACTGCCTTTAATTTATACCCTTTAAGAAAGCAATTGGCCACTTGACAATTATTCTCTCATTCAAATTTTTTTCCAAGGCTTTCTTCCAAATGATTAAATTACTTCTCCCCATTGTGCATTAACTCTAGACCTAATAATATGTGTTATAAAGAAGGATTTATTTTAATTAGTTGTCCAGCAGGCTGTTACTAAGGAATGAATAAAAATTATTTTGTCACTGAGATATAAAGCACAGCTATGGCTCTGGAGCACTGTGGCACATCTTGAAGTTCTAGAAGAAATAAAAGCTCTCTGTCCTTTTCCTCTGTTGTTAGCATTGCAACCTAAATGGTTATTTTTCCTTCCTCAGGCTATCAGGCTTTCTCTTGAGCAATCTTTGCCTCCAGAACCGAAAGAGGAGAGCACCGAGTCTGTCAGCAAACTGCGTATTCGGACGCCCAGCGGAGAATTCTTTGAGCGACGTTTCCTGGCCAGCAGCAAGTTGCAGGTGGTCTTTGATTTTGTAGCTTCCAAGGGATATCCTTGGGAGGAGTACAAGCTGCTGGGCACCTTTCCGAGGAGAGATGTGAGTAAATGTACCTTTCAGGAACAAATGCTACTACTTCTTATCTCTGTATGTTAGATGAGCAGCATGTTAGAGCATCGACTGTAAAAGATATACCTGAATGATTGCGTTGCGAAATCTGTTTCCAGTGACATAAAAACATCCTCTGTTTCTGAAACAAACAAGTTGTGGATCGCATTCAGTGAAAACTGCCCGCGTACACTGAGCCAGCATCACTCGCGTCCTGTTTTGAAGGAAGCAGCCTGTGCGCTGTTTAGGTCTGTTATGAGCTGGAATCTCTGATCTTTCTGGTTTTGCCATTTTGATGCAATTTTAAGTTACGAGCAAGGAAGGCTCAGTGTCAGGTAGCAAATGGTTATGAGCTAACCAGTATATTCTAGTAAATTATTCACCTACTTGTTACATCATACCAGTAAATAGTCATTCATACCTCCTGCCTCCAGTTTCTAATGATGTACCTGCTGTGACTGATCTTCGAAATCAATACTGCTCACAAAAGCAAATTCAGTTCTGTTGGTTTATCAATAGATATTTATAAGCTGATCACTAAGTTTCTTTGAATAATACCTATATGTTGGTATGTGGTATATAAAACTATATATCTCTATTACAAATTCACTTTAATTTCTTATCCAGCCATTGTTACAGCAAAGGTAAAAGCCAATGGGTCCAACTGTGCAGCAGTTACCTGGGACCCTGCATAAAAGGCAAAGGTAGTGGGCGCTACAGAGATGACAGAGCAGAGCCAAGCAGGGATGAGTGAATTTTGGCAGCTTTTTGGCCATACTGCCTCCATATTGCAAAAGCACAGTGGCAGCTCTGACTCAGTCGGGGGTTTGTTTGTCTCCAGGTGACTGGTGAAGCTGTTTTGCATCAAAGGAGCTCAATAACTTGGGTTGCTTTTCCATTTTGTTTCCCATCACTGCCCCTAGAGGAAGTTCACTAGGAGTAAACCTCTGACAGGCATGTTTGGAGTACTGTTTTGTAACAGATACCTCTTGCTTTAGCATTGTATTTGCAAGTCATTTAAAGTGGCACAAGTACTCCAAAAGGGGGAAAAAATAATGTCCTTAGCAAGCATACAACCTTTAGAGTGGATGTGATTTCTGATGGTTGTTGGCATAACTCTGTGAACAGGACTGTGGTGCTTACAGCTTTTCTTCCACCTTGTCTTGCACTGAGAATCCCAAACAGTCAGACTGAAAAGCAGTATTTAAGGGCTCTCATTAATCACTAATTAACTTTACTCCTTAAGCATATTCTATCATTTTGAGTGGAACCAAAGACTAGAAGTCATCTATGTTTTCAGGATTACTGATTGTTCAGTTGACAAAAGAAGAACAATCTAAACAATGTTTTTATGTATTTTAAATATTCTGCAAGTCATACCTCCCTACCTGTAACATATTTATGTCTTAGTACATATTTTATATTAAAAATACAGGTATATTTCTCTAACTTTTTACATTTGTTTTGCACTTTATACTGACTGTACATAATCACATCATCATAATTATTAATTTTAATCCTCTGTAACACACTAAAACATTGATCAGACAACTCACGTAAGAACAAATTTAAAAGGAGTAGGAAAGAAAAAAGGCTGCTAAATGAGGATAGGTTGTTATTTTCAGTGCATTTGTGAAACTGTCAGGGAGAAAACACTGAGGCAAAGAATGGAAAATTTAATGGCAGGATACGGAGCTGGTGGTCTGTCGCGTGGGAAGCAAAGACTCTATCTTTTTTCTATGATTCAACCTAATAATGCCATGTCTGAGAAGTCACATAAATGATTCATGCCAATTGACTCAGTGGCCGTGTATGAATCCAGTTGCCATTGTGACCATCAGAGCTACAACAGACAAGATACAATCCCCAGGGGTTTGCTAACCGCCAAGAACTACAAATGACATCTGCCACATTCCCCAGGTTTGGAAAGTTGGAAGTGTGAAACTCCATAGGCAGATTTAAAACAAAAAAAGTCATTGCTGAAAGCCTTGGAAGTGCAGTGAAAGTATATATTAATTACCTTAGGCTTTGCGGTATATAGTCTCTTAAAAATACACTAAGTTGTCAGGACCCTTCTACTATATGATACATACCACAAACATCCACTGAAATCTGTGCAACAAGAACAGAGCACTTGGGATGCTTGTGCTCCAGAAAGCAATAGCATTTTAAAATGTCCTTTTGTATTTAAACTGTACACAGCTTTTTTTTTAAATATGTTTTGAAGTATTGGAATTACTTTGTCAATGTTTTTGCTGCAATAAAATGAGAATATGTCTTCTCAAGTTAATATTTTTTCTTCTATCCTAATCCATACTACAATAACATACAGTCCCCCAACGGTGTTCTTATCTTATCGAAACGAGGGGATTATCTTCAACCAAAACAGCATTTTCTTGTGGTGAACTTGTTAGACCATTTTACCTGCTTTTCAAAGCCATCAGGCCTGATACCCTGATACAGTGTTGTTGACATATTTTTACTTCTTTAGTAAATAAAAATTCATTATGTTCCAGTTGCTTACACAGATATCCTTAGCTAACTTAAAGTTAGTATCATAACCCTACTGTAAATACAAACTTCTACACATGAGTAAATACACAGATTAACCTTTTCCAGACACTAGTAGGTTTTAAAGCGGCAGTGACATTCCACAGCAGTTAGGCACATGCAGTGGCTTGTTATTGGGTCTTTGTCGCTGACCATGTTGTTCTTTCTACTGGCGCTGAAATTGGATATTAACCACCTCCTCTCTCAGTACCAGGTAGCCAAGGCAGCTCTGCATACTGCACCAACAGGTGTGGATCATGCAGGTGAGCCTGGATCAGCAGGTAACTGGTACCTCTAACTGGGAAGGTGTTCAGCAAGCACATCTTTCAGAGTGAAAAGCTGTGCTATTCAGCCTGGACAAGAGAAGGATCTGGGGAGACCTTATTGCAGCCTTCCAGTTCCTGAAGGGGGCCTACAGGAAAGCTGGGGAGGGACTTTTTACAAGGACAAGGGGGAATGGTTTTAAACTGGAAGAGGGCAGATTTAGTCCAGATATTAGGAAGAAACTCTGTACTGTGAGGGTGGTGAGACACTGGCACAGGTTGCCCAGGGAAGCTGTGGGTGCCCCCTCTCTGGAAGTGTTCAAGGCCAGGATGGACAGGGCTTTGGGCAACCTGGGCTGGTGGAGGTGTCCCTGCCCATGGCAGGGGTTGGACTGGATGAGCTTTAAGGTCCCTTCCAACCCAAACCATTCTGTGATTCTATAAGTTCTTTGCATTCTTCTTAAATGACCTGCAAAGGCTTTATGGAAGCAACTGTGTGTGCTGCTTAAATGTATGCATTAGTTTTAGAATTACAGTTACTTTTCTTCCAAGAATTGCTCTAATCTTCAAAACAGATTTAACTATAACAAAAAGATCTTACCCTGAGTATATTAGCATGCTTAGTCAACCTTCTCACTCAGGATTTCTTCTAAGTCCCTTTCTCTTAAGCCTTCCCAAACACCAATTCCAGTAGCCCTCTCAGTCTGGCAGTTGCCAGATCCACCTTCTCCCAGTACCCTGGAGACTTCTGAGGTGGTCAGTTCCTCACTCCATTCTGGGGTGGACATCTGCAAAAGTCTTCCTAAAACTCTCTGACATCTTATGGACTGGGCATTTCACCACACTTCAGGCAAGACGCAGAAGGTGCACCAGGTCTAGCTGAAGCTATAGGAGGAATGTGCAGAACAAATGTTCCCAAACTGGGCTACAGCGACCCTACTAGTGTTAATGATGTCTGTCAATGTTTTATGGTATTGCTTAGAAAAGGAGGTTTCTGGCATGCTCTCTCATTTGAAAAACTATTTTTGAAAGACTGAATGTATTAATTTCTTCTGACAAATGAAAATTGCAACCTATAATTTCTTCTGCTCATTTCTCCTGAAGGTGGAGCATTAGTTGTATATCTGAGAGTATGTGTTTTGCAGACACGGTATTAAGAGACTTAAGATCTTTATTTACTGTATCTGGAAGCCCTGGTAAGCCAAGACTTCTACAGTATTTCGCATTTTATTTTTATGAGCCACAGCTTAGGATCAGGTGGCAGTTAAGTCACTTAAGGTCATTTAAATGCATCTAAAATGTTGCTTAATAATTCAGAACCAGTTTGCTCTGTTTAGAGTAGTAAGATTTTCTAAATCCTTTTAATTAACCAATTTCAACAGCAGTTTAAATAAACAGAAACAAAAATCTGTCTCCCTTGAAAGGATAGAAAATAAATTTAACTCAAATTGCATGTTAATTTAAATTTGGCATGATCAGGATTTCAGCAAAGTTAGAGCCAGACAATTCTTAATATTATATGAGAATATAGAATAAGATATTCCCTCCAAACCCAAATGTGATCATTCATTCTCATGCTCTGACAGGAGTAATCCTCTTTGACACCCATGGTGGTGAAAATAATGCTACAGGATAAGTTTGGATAATAAGTTTAGCTGCAACACTCAAGACATGTAGTCATCTGAGCAGGTACCTCTCCTCTGGTGTTCTCGGAAAGGTTATGTTAGAGCATCCGCCCTGTATTGCTGTGCCAGGTTGTTTGGCAATTTTGTGTATCTCGGTCAATTCTAGAAGCCATTCTTTGTAAGGATTATTCTGCATTTCACCCAGTGCAAACTACTTCCTTCAAATAATCTGCTTTTAAAACCCATCAGGTAGTGGTTTAAACTCTTTAAGTGGTTCATGAAAGTGAATGATCCAGGACCATTTCTGGCTTTACACATCCTTTCCCCTCATCATCATCTTGATAGGAAGATGGAAGAAAGATGTTACCATGAGAAAGGATTCTTGCAGTAGGATTCTTGCACCATTATTGTTGCACCAAATAGCCCTTGTCACATAAACTGGGGACAGGAACTTGAATATCTGTTTTATAAAAAAGGAAGGCTTCAGAGGAATGAAATATTTCTCTGATATTCTCAAAAAATTTGAGAATGTTTTTGTAAGTTCAGGAAAAAT